GTATAACCTGTGGGTCCGTTAGGTAAACGCCTTACAAGCTACGACGGTTTTCATGCAGATTTGACATTGCTGCGTGATCTGTGGCGACAACTGTACAATCGAAAAACTCCCACCTGCTCATGCAAGCACAGGCCAAAAACAAACGCGGCCTTGGCGATACGAGGTTGACTTAGGCAAACGCGCCACACGTGCACTCCAGTGTCGGCGAATAGCTGCACGATAACTACGGCTGCCAGCACACGCGGCTTTATCTCTGTTTTCGTTCTGGCCTTCTCAACTTGAACCCAGGACATTTGTCGCCTAATCAAGCAAGGGAACAGTTTCTCTTCCGACGACAGTGCCTACTTGACTGCCCCATCTGTCATGGGAGAAATCTGGCAAATCGACAGTGTCTTCGGGGGGGTGCGGGCAAAGACGGCTGGCTGGATTATATTCATTTTAACCGGAGCATAATTAGCCAATCCCACTGCGAGGAACAACTTAACATTTATAAAGACGGTGGTTGGCAGATTTTAATAACTTTGAAGAAGACGTTCCTTTGGGATAAAATAACTTTAATGAGTGAATTTTCGAGGTTGGCACCCCAAGTCGTCTTCGGACTAACAAGAAAAGTGCAAGAAACAACTAAAATTTCAAAACCGCCGAAAACAGGCCAAACAGGAAGATCCGTCTCCACGCGCATGCGCGAACACGAATCGGCCGTGAATAGACATGATCGTTTTTCCGAAGTGGCCATGCATTGCTCAACACAGGAGACACCTGTGCATGGGATAAAAAATGCATCGTCAGAGTTTGCCACTCCAAAAATGGCCGAGAATTTCTCGAAGCCATGCACTTCGACGATTCATGCATCCACCGGCACGTCAAGTTGGATGGTATTTACAAACGCATCAAAGAAGGATGGAAAATACAGAGACCGCAGGACAGAAACTAACTGAGACCAAACCTACCAATCATGTCTCACTGTTTACAACAATTGATTTTTTTGGCGGTTTTAAAATTTTAGGTTTTTCTTGCACTTTTCTTGTTAGTCCAAAGACGAGTTGGGGTGCCAACCTCGAAAGTTCGCTCATTAAAGTTATTTTATACTAAAGGAACGGCTTCTTCAAATTTAAATTTCTTGGAATGGGCATGTTCTAGTTTATAAGATTTGAATAACTCGCTTGACCCAATCGTGAAAAATGCGGCGGCGGCCTCGGTGGGAATCGAAACCACGCCAGCAGGGGTGGGCTTTAATACAACTAATGCTCCTGCCTGCTGAGCTAGGAGGCACCCACCAGGAGCCGTGAGTTTAATCGCAATTGGGTCAATTTACCCACCCAGCGTACTGAAGGGTAGGGAATCGAACAATAATGCTACAGTACATTAGCATAAAACGGTAGCAGAAACGGGTAATACATGCGGTGGCCTGTCAGTTCCCCACGTGGCGACTTGCTTTGGTGAAATTGTCTCAGCACCAAATATGGATTGGACAAATCGTTGCACTTTTTTATGGATTGGAGACCCGTGAAACGTGACTCAAGTAATTCTCGGCTCACTCGATTGTCACCTTTCGCGAGAATTTCGAACTCATCGCATTTGAATGTATGACCGGGTATCGTCGAATGAGTCGCAACCAGTTACTGCTACCGTTTTTTACAAATATCACTGATGATGAATCTGCGACGGATGTCGAAACGCCATGCGAATAAAAATTTTTTCCGAGTAGTCGAGTTGTCTCCTTCTCAATGCTACAGTACGCCGACTGCCCAAGCAGGATTTCATAGGCAATCAATCTGGATTCCACAAGATGAGTACCAGGCATACTTAATCCGTAGGGGTATTCTGTCAGACTGCGAGAGCAGGATTTCTTAAGCAATCGATCTTAACCGCAGTCAGCTTACTGGATCAAAGTTGATCGGTTCCATACTCTGCAGCAGGCTGGGTGGGTTAGTCGAGCCAAATGTTAGTAAACCCATGCTCCCCCTCTCTCCCTCCCCCTCCCCCGACGGAGCCTCGTAGCTCCGGCGTTTCGAGCGTTAGCTGTACACAAGCTATCCCCTTGCTGTTCTGGGTCCAAATTTCAGCCAGGCCGCCGGGTTTTCACAACTGGGTCAAGTGAAACGTCAATCATCTACTTCGGAATCCTTTAAGAAGAGTAGAAGAGTGGCACAGTGCAGCCTACTGTAACCTACTGAATCACGTTATTCGGATAGAGTAAGATGACTGCCAAAGCCGGATTTCCTACGCAGTCAATTGATGGGGCCTCGTAGTTCTGGTGGCCCCACACCCCTTGCGTTCGTGAGTTCAAATCCTACCGAGGCTGTCTCGAATTTCCTATTTGTGTCAAATTAATTACAACAATGTGCTATGATAACTACTCAGTGCTGCGCGAAGACCTATGTATCTGAGTTCAAAGGCGTTTCATCCTACGACGACCATGGCAGAACTGTGATCACCAAGCGTAACGCGATTTAAGGCAAACTGAGCTAAATCTGGCATGTTAAGTCAGTGTAAGGTCGGCAAAAGAGCATCTCAGCAATGTGGAGAGACTGGAAGAAAATGGACATGGGGATTAAGCGGAGAAGAGAAAAAAGACAGAACAGAAAGTAGCATTTCAGACAGAAGGAGGATGACAATGAGGAGAGTGATTGATAAGAAAGACTGTTAAAATGTAAAACCTATACCTTCAAATTACTAGCTATCTCATCTTCCCCGTAAATGAACCTGTCTGTTTAAGTTATCTGCTGGCTCGCTGCAGACATCTCGTAAAATAGCCCAAACTGGATGACACGTCTAGACAAACGTTGGCAATAATAGTAGACATTACTATGCATAACCGGCTACCCATAGATACCATCCTCCGAAGGTAGGGTGTTGTGGACCCAGCACTATGTAATTTGATAATACGATATTTTGGGGACAAATTGACAGACGGCTGCTAATTGACGTCCGCTGTCTCATCAACTACCCACTTTGACAGGTGAAAAGCGCACAGACAGCAGAGGTATGTATTACCAGTCTGTTGAATGCGTCTCAACAGAAAATTCCAACTAGGCTAGATGAAAACAGAGTAC